CTGACCCATCCCCTCCCCGCAGAGAGCCAGCGCGCCTATCGCTTCGTGCAAGGCAAGGACTGGGGCTTCAAGAAGTTCATCCGCAGAGATTTCCTGCTGGACGAGGCCAACGGGCTCCTGCCGGACGATAAACTCACCCTGTTCTGTGAGGTGAGCCCGGGACGGCTTCCGTGGCTGGGGACGGGGTGGCCACCGTGGCCAGGGAGGGGTGGCCAGAGAAGGCCGGCCTCTGTGGCCAGGGATGGAGAGGGGCAGCCTCCGTGGCCGGTGAATGGGTGGCCTCTTGGGGACAGGGAGGGCATGGCCTCTGTGGCTGGTGAAGGGACGACCTCCATGGCTGGAGAAGGGATGACCTCTGTGGCTGGGGAGGGGTGACCTCCGTGGCCAGAGAAGGGGTGGCCTCAGTGGCCAGTGAAGGGGTGACTTCTGTGGCCAGTGAAGGGTTGGCCTCCATGGCCGGTGAAGGGGTGGCCTCCATGGCTGGAGATGGGTGGCCCGAGAGGGGTGGCTTCTGTGGCCAGGGGTGGAGAGGGACAGCCTCAGTGACCAGAGAAGGGATGGCCTCAGTGACCAGAGAAGGGATGGCCTCCGTGGCCAGTGAAGGGGTGGCCTCCGTGGCCAGAGAAGGGTGGCCAGAGAGGGGCACCCTCCGTGGCCAGGGATGAAGAGGGGTGGCCTCCATGGCCAGAGAAGGGATGGCCTTCGTGGCCGGTGGATGAATGGGTGGCTTCCATGGACAGTGAAGGGGTGGCCTCTGGGGACAGAGAGGGGCGGCCAGTGAAGGGTTGGCATCAGTGGCCAGTGAAGAGGAGGCCTCCATGACCAGGGGCGGAGAGGACATGGCCTCAGTGACCAGAGAGGGATGGCCTCCATGGCCAGAGAAGGGACAACCTCTGTGGCCAGAGAGAGGTGGCCTCCGTGGCTAGTGAAGGAATAACCTCTGTGGCCAGAGAAGGGATTGCTTCCATGGCTGGTGAAGGAATGGCCTCGGTGGCCGGTGAATAGGTGGCTTCAGTGGCCAGTGAAGGGATGGCCTCCATGGCCGTTGAATGAGTGGCCTCCGTGGCCAGAGAAGGGATGGCCTCAGTGGCCAGTGAAGGGGTGGCCTCAGTGACCTCTGTGGCCAGTGACGGGGTGGCCACCGTGGCCGGGGATGGAGAGGGCATGGACTCCATGGCTGGAGAGGGGAGACCTCCATGGCCGGTGAAGGGATATTTTTATTTTATTTTTATTTTCATTTTCATTTTCATTTTTATTTTTCTTCTTATTTTCATTTTCATTTTTATTTTATTTTCATTATCATTATCATCCTTTTCCCTCGTGCTATTCCACAGCAAAGACTCAGCCACTTTTTTTCCAAACCCAGAGAATTTAATTGAAAAAACCCTTAACGAGCAGATCAAAACTCGGATTTTGTGTCTCCCGGATCAGATTTTTGCCAGAAAAAAAGGAAGAACAAATTGTTCTCTCCTTGCATCTCCTGCACTTTTATTTTTCTGAGTTTTTTTCTTTTGCTG